ATTACATTATAATAAACATTTCTCAACACGCAGCTTTAAGAAGGGTTAATTAGTGAGCGGATATCATGCATGGCCTTGGGTTTCAGCTCCCCTGCTTCCTGACGAGTGCGCCCATCCCTCAGCGCTGCTTGTTTGGGATTATTTGGGGCGGGTTATCCCCTGCCTAATGAGCTCTGAAGCAAAGATCTCCATTTTGGCCGTGAAATGATTAGGTTCATTACGAGAGCGAACGAGAACCGATGGAAAGACAATTTTTTTTTTTTGTTAACAGAAGCATTTCCACCTTGAACAACAAACAAAGAGGGCAGATAAACAAATCCATTCCCAGAGACATTGAGGAGGGATGGTGTCTCTCTGTCATGTGGAAACCAATTTTCTCCTCCTGAGGCTGAGGTGACTTTTTAGGTTCATGGATTTCCTTCAAAAACCTGCTTTGCATACACCTTGAAAAAGTTGACATTTGAAGGTAAAAGAAGTTGAGTGGCATCCCGCGTGTGTGGAGAAAACAAACCTCACATGCAGCAGTCACCCACTTTAAAACCAGGAGGTGAAAGTTGCTGTCATTTTCACTGTGAACTTGTTTTGCTGACAAGTCGCTGTGAGCCTCGACTCCCACTCTGCAGACACACACACACACACACACACACACACACACACACACGCAGCGCGGAGTGTGAGCGTGGCGCCGAGCTAATGAACTCATTTACTAAGTCAGTGCAGGCTGCGGGGGGATAACGCGTCCTCGCCTGTGACAGAGCGCCAGGCATCAATCTCTTTAATGGAATCCTGCAGAAGGCATAAAACAACCATAATGCCTCTCTCCGGCTGAGCTGGGCTGACTGGGCCAAAAGGAAATCCACACACGCGCTGCCGCCGCCGCCGCCGCCACCGCCACCGCCACCGTCCGTTACTGCCGTCCGTTACTCTGTTTACATCTTTTGTTTTTCTTCTCGGGGAGATGATCATAATGAAGATCTCTGACGTGGCTTCAACTGAGGTTTTCTTTCCAGCGCTGAACTTAATGAAACACTGTTTCTGCTCCCTCTTGAGGGCGCCACTTCACCTCTCAATCTAATTGGCTGACACAAATTCCAAACACGCCAGCTATTACTTTTTAAAGTTTTTTTTTTATTTTTTAAAATATATCACATAAACATAAACAACAACAAACCTGTCCAATCCCCAAATCCCCCGAGCACTGGATCATCAGTCAGCCTGCAGCCAGACAATAACAAGAAGAATGAACTGACTTATAAACAAATAAATAACAGACTTTATCAAATACATTAAAAAACAAAACAGAAAAAAGAATAAAAGAATAAAAAGGTTACATAGTTATGTTGTTAGCTGTCATATCTTCAACAGAAGATCAAAATGGTTGCAGAGTGATATAGAATTCCTGGTGCAACCTCTTATAGTATATCTGATTTTCACCTCCCTTATCCATTGGCCATATGTCCATCCATTTAGATAATATTAGTCTTCTGGCCAAAAGGGAGCAAAAGGCTTTCATATATCATCATATTGGTTTGGTGCCCATTAACAGGAGTGTTCATCGGGGAACACCAAACAGAGAGATCAGTGGAGAGGGGTCGACCGTTGTCCCACATATTCTTGAAAAGGTCTCAAAAACAGAGCGCCAGAAACCAGAACGTTTTGGGCATGGCCAGAAAATATTCCTTTTTAAAGTTTAAGAGCAAAAGCTGATTCACACTGTAAACGAAGCCGGCTGCTTTGTTCCAGATATACCAAAGTTCCTGACCAACCACACCATCTTCTACTCGTGGGAGGGGAACCCGGTGAACATCAGCTGTGACGTCATGTCCAACCCTCCGGCCACCATGCTGTGGAGGAGAGAGCGCTTCACCATCTCTGCAGAGGGGACGGCCAACACCCGGGTACACAGCGCAGAGGGCAAGTCTGTGCTGGAGGTGGGTACAAGGCCCTGCATGCTGTAGATCAGAGGTGTCCAAAGTGCGTTTGCGGCCCTTGAGGGGATTTTTTTGCGGCCCGTGACTTCAAATGAAGAATCAGAAGATTTTGATTAAGATCGGCACATTATCTTCTTTTTCTTTTTCATGTTAACAAGCGCTGAACAATATTCCTAAATAGAAAATGTTCAGTAACATGTATGTTGTTGTTTTTTTTAAATCTACAGCTTTTACTATTTTACACATTCTTTTGTAAACTATGAACCATTTAATGACCTGAGCTAAATGCAGAAAGCTTTTCTAAAAACATGAACCACGTTACAGGATCTGAGAAGAAAACAAATAAAGCAGAACGAAGAAATCTAAATATTTGATTTCTTTTATTAAAGGGTTTCTTTAGCGAGCCTTTTGATTCTGATCTACAAAGCCTTACTATTTTTAAAACTATATTTTAAAAAACAAAACCTGTGGCCCGTGAGCGATTCTAACACGACTATTTTGGAGTTTGGACACGACTGCTGTAGATCTTCAGGAACCATCATCCTCTTAGTTCATCTTGTCTTTTCCCTCCTGGTCGCAGGTCACTCCGATGTCCGACAGGGACTTTGGCCGCTACAACTGCACAGCCAGGAACAACATCGGAGTGCGATACCAGGAGTTTATCCTGGCACAAGCAGGTGAGTGAACAGATCCGTGTCCCCTCTACCTGAGCGAACACGATCTGTGACTTAATATGAAGTCCCAAATGTGATGAGTCAGGGAAATCACACTTCTTTTCCAAATGGCTGCTCTCACAGTTAACTCCAACCGTTCACTTGTGTGTAACCCTCTACCTCTCCACTGACGCTAACAGCCTTATTTGCAATCCTCACAAAGACCGATTCCTCTACAGCGCCGAGGCCCCTACTGAGCCTCGCCTAATCTCAAATAGTGCCGGCTGATTTACCATACCCCTCGCTATTTACTGAAGTACCCCCTAATTTACGGGGAGCTCGGGCTAATACACAATAGTGCAGTCCAATTATCTTTAGTGCAGATTGAATTGCTCCGGCTGAGGAGAAAAGTAAAGAGCAGAAAAGCTGACCTGACATGTCGTCTTGGAGGAAACAATGCGTTTGGGAAGTTGTTTTGACACACAGACACACACACTAAAGCATGTGTGGAGGTTTGGGTCAGTAATGGAGTCTCCAGAGAGATGATCTCCACTGGAAGCTGCTCGGACACTGTCTTTAAAAACAGAAGAAATGATGATTTCAACCTGAGAAACAAACTAACAAAGAACACATCTGTTGTTGTTTTTACTCAAACAACTCCAAGGACAACTTTATTTTTCAGCTCAGGGTTGTTCAACCTTCTCCCCAAAACTCACTTCAAGGATGTTAAATGTGTGTCATGATGATGTGCAGTAAGATAGACAGATAGAGAGAGACTTTATTGATCCTGAGGGAAATTCAAAGCATCCAGTAGCAGGTTACAAAGACATGACATGAAACACCTGTTACAAATTAAACCACAAAACCGACCCTCCCCCCTCCCCATATATATATATTAACCTGAATAAAAGATTTAAAGAATACCTCTAGATGAATCAAACTTAAACTGTGCAGTTAAAAATAGACTTAAACAAGAAATGTACATAACCTGTGCAGGGATAAAAATATATTTGAGATTAAAACAAGAACCTAAAAACAGGTGAGGAAAAAAATCTGTAATTAGACCTGAATATAAAAAATAAGAATAAAATGAATAAAAATGAATGAAAATAAAATACAATACAATAAAATAAAATACAATAAAATACAATAAAATACAATAAAATACGATAAAATAAAATACAATAAAATACAATAAAATACAATACAATACAATAAAATAAAATAGAAATTAAAAAAAAAGAAGTGTTGACCTTCTGAAGTTGTGTTGTTTATATATGTACAGCAATGTTTAAAAAGCAATCTCGTCTGTCTTTAGTTGGAGAACAGTGTGTGGATACATAACTGAAACTTTCTGCACTGTAAACTTCCCTGATAAATACTTTGTAAAGATGATGCAGGTTAGCGAGGCGTCGATGCATCCAGGTTTAATAATGACGGTGTTTAACGGGTAATGCGCCCGAGGCTGACTTCATCCCTCTCTGAGCCTCAACATGAAGGAAGGAGCTGTCTGTTCCTGACGTCGGCCTTGATTTTTTCACATCACTCACTGATGAAGAAAGTGTTTCACATGCACTCCGTGTTTGATCTATTTTTATTTTTGTCTTACCAGATGTGCCGTCCAATCCGTACTCAGTGCGTCTCTCAGCTGTCTCCCAGCGCTTAGCGACCGTGACCTTCATGAAGCCCGACTCGCACGGCGGCGTGCCCATCAGCTACTACCTGGTCCAGTACAAGGAGGTGGGCTCTCAGGACTGGAGGGCCGTCAAGTCACACAGTGTGCAGAGTGAGTGGTCTTTGTAATAACCGTCAGCATCGCTCTCATTTCACATATTCTGATCATTTAATTTATAAAGATTTGATATCAGAGTAAATGAGGGGAGGGGAAGAGATCCATCTCTCTGCATCTCTTGATTATAAACCAGAAATATACATTTGTAGAGCATTTGATTCAAATATACTGAATGAAAAGGTAGGTTTATTTTCCAGAAATATGTAGAATCATAGATAACAAAAAATGTCTGAGGATCAAACAACAGCTGGTGATGCAAAACCTTCAAATCCTCCTCGATGGTAACATGTTGTTCTGAGCCTGCTGCTGGGAAGTACAACATGGAGAGGAGGAAAGATTGACAGACAGTGGAAGCCAGAGGACTTACGGTCAGGTGATAAGAAGGTCTGACAAACCTGGAGGGCTTATCACTAATATTCTTCATTTCAGAGTCAATGTCATGCAGCGATACAGTGAGGGGAATACTAAACAATGGGACACACTTTCATCATAACCCAGCAAGACAATGAAGCATCAGAAGTGTTTAAATCTACTAAAGAGAAGTGTTTGTGGTGAGAAAGAAAATATGAACGAATAGAAAAGATTAACTTAAAGTGGTTAAAATGAAGAAGGTAAAGGAAATAACATACACAGATATTTATATGTACAGTACACAAACATGTATTTACATAATTGTAATTAAACATGCATGCATAATATACCCAATCAAACACCTACAGGTTCACATTTCTGCACGTCAGCACACACACACAATTCTATGTATACTGCCATATGATTACAATCACACCAGCACGTTATTATTAGATCTTCAAATATGAACGTTTTAATCAGAGGAGAACTGCAGCGTGCAGGTTTTGCCGAGTTAGCACTTTAATAATGAACACAGGAAGTATCCCAAACCTGCCAAAGGCTGCTGGTAGCCTTGTCGTTACTGCATGCAGCCCATGTAAGGACGCCTTGGTCTTCCAAGTGGGCGGCCCAGGTTCATATCCGACCTGTGGCTCCTTTCCTGCACGTCATTCAACACTCTCTCTCTTAATAAAAGTCCCAAAATAAACCTTTAAAAACAGGAAAGAAGGAGGGGTATGCAGTGAAAAAAAAAGAGGAGAAAACATCTGGACCAGTACTTCAAAAATAAATCCGGCTGTTAAGTTAAATGTGACTCTTTCCCATGATTCAAACAAATTATTAAAATTGTGAAAGAGACTAATTACAAGCGGCTAAGTGCTCTCATCTAATCATAGAATCCACTTCAGATCCCCTCAGCAGAAGATCCTCACCAAATAAACCCTTCAACATAATGAGAAGCCTGGACTCGCTGCGTTCCAATGCTTTCGCCCAAATTGAAATGTCTGCTTATGGCCTGGAAAGCAAACCGGCAGCGGCTGCAAATTGCAGAATTTGTTTTCAATTCCAAGACTAAAGAACTGCAAAAGCACCTATTACCATTCAAGTATTTAATTTGTACAGAGTGACAAAAACAACAACTTTCACTCGAGCTCATTACGCTGCCTCTCTGAGAAGTCAAGGTTATGTAAATAGAGGGAGTGACTGGAGGACGGAAATAGGATCTGTAATGTGCTCTGATAATGAAGTTTTCCTCTTTACTTCAATAAATGATGCATTTTACAATGAGAAGCTTCAGATTGTACACTGCTTTCAATGTCGCCTTTTTCTAATAGCGATGCACGATGTTCTCGAAAGATTTCCACCCACCCCCTTCTAGTTTTTGAATACTATGGTTGAGGAATATTCTCCAGTAAAGAAACATTCAAACACCATTACAGTGAAGGTGTCTGAGTGATATTTACAGGTGAGAGCAGTGTCTGCATACCAAACTTTCCTAATTCTGCCAGAGATATCGCAGACTCGACCTCTGAGAGTCTGAGAGGAGAGAGAGGGGACATCTGGTCCACACATAGACCCAGCAGATCAGGCCACAGGGGGACTTTGTTTGTCCTCTGATAACCAGTAACTTCCAGCTGTTTCCTTCAGATCTCCACTTCTTCATGTTACGATCCCTAAATAATGATTTCATTCATCAAGATCCCAAGAACACCTCTGATATTCACTTATTGTCACAGGGAAACCAGCGTTGTTATCTCGAGAGAATGGGACCTGACCTGGAACAAAATGACTAAATAGAAAGTGAAAACATTGAGTTAGCAAAAACACAAGAAGTATGAGTTTTAAAAACAAGTATGAGCAAGCTGAGCTTCAAAACAATGAAGAGCAGACAGACTTCATCCTCACTCCTCTCTACAACAAGTTTTTTCCATTTAAAGCTACTTGACCTTTGTCTTTTAGGAAATGTTGGACATATCTTAGTTTGAACTAGTTAGTGTTCAGCTTACTGACCTTTTAAAAAAATACGACCTCCTCTCTTCTGGGGAGAAAGATCTTTGTAACCTGCCTGCAGGGATTTCCTCCCATTTAGCCTCAAGAGCTTTAGTGTCATCGTCTGCTGATGTTAGGACATAAGGTCCTCCTCGCACTCCTTCCAGTTCATCCCAAAGGTGTTGAACTGGTTAGAGGAACGTCAAGGTCTTCCACACCAAGCTGGGACAAGCATTCCTCTGCAGACCTAACCTGTGGGGGGAGGATATTACCACGAGGAACCTGAAAAGGTCCAGAAATGCCCCCAAGATGCAGCACTTTAAAAGTTCTTCAATGAAGTGTTGATTTTAACCACGACTACGATGCCAACGTTTAATTTTCAAGAGAAATGAAGTCGCAGCATGAAATGAAGGATCGTTATGTTCGTGCAAAAAGGAGAATAAGTGTGAGAGATGTTTAAATGTAGGACGCAGCAGATCTCAGGAAACAGGTTAATGATAGAGCCGGGGCTCTTGCAGTGCGCTGCACGATGAAGCACTGCAATCAGACCTGTTGAATGAGTTCTGAGTGATTTCTCATTCAACAGGATGCCGTTAAAGAAACTTGTCTTACTGGGGAAATGCTGCTTCTAATTCTAAATCTTTCCTCCCTGCAGTATTTCAAAGTTTTCCACTGAAAGTTATGTGTCTCTGCCTTCAGCATATCTTTTAGATCACTTAACCTCTGCTCCTGCCTCTCTCTGCAGCGACCGTGGTGCTGACAGGACTCGAGCCCAACACGACGTACGAGGTCCGGGTGGCAGCTGTCAACGGGAAGGGTCAGGGCGAGTTCAGCCACACGGAGTCCTTCCAGACTTTACCCATCCGTAAGTAGTGAGGAGAAAACATGCTGAAATGTATTTCAGACGCCTCTTTCTGAGATGTGCAGAGAGAAATCGTGCATTTTGTCCACAAGGGGGAGACAAAGAGGCCATAACCTGAACGCTCCTCACAGGAGCTTTAAATGGAATCCAACCTAAAAGGGATTTTTAGATTTCTTCTGAAAGCCACTTCCATATTCTGAACATAATCCCTTAATTCACAACTACTTTGTCTTCATTACAACTCGACTGGCTAAACCGATCATTATTGCTGTGTTTCTGGATTACACAAATGTTTAAATGTTAAGCACCAAGTGCAAAACCCTTTGAAAAAGTCTTTGAAAATGTGGCAGTGAAAGCAGATATAAAAGTGTATTTTCATTGAAAGAAGAAGACGTGTAAAAAAAAAAAAAGAAGCATATTGCAGAATCTTTTGGAGGCTGAAATGAGACCTATTTGCCTCCTCACAGAACTCATGCGTGCTCACATTTGACTGTTACAACCGCCTCATATTTCAGTGATGTGAATCCAGATTATTGGAGCTCTGAATACATCCTGTCACATTTGTGTCCTGGTGTAAAAAGTGCAGCGTTAAAAGTTATATACCGCACGGGCTTTTTATGATAAGCATTTTATTTATTCTGGCAATCTGGCTCGGCGGCATCGCAGTAAATCCAGGCGAGGCCATCGCGAGGAATACTTTGATACGCTGCTCCTGACGATGAATGCTTGTTAGGAGAAGTCCTAATTAATAAAAAAAAAAAAACAGAATAATAAGAACCTGCAGTCGTCATGAGTTACAGCCGGGCAGTGGGAGAGGCCTTGTAATGTGAATTTAACTCAGTTTAAAGCTCCCTCTCTCCTTGTTCTCCTTCCTTATCTCATATCTCACAATGCCACCTGCTCCTTTGGAACACACACACACACACACACACACACACACACACACACACACACACACTAACAGGACGTGTTGTTTTTGCATCTCTGCTCAAACCTCCTCTTTGTTTCTCCCTCAGGGGAGCCAAGTCCGCCGGCGGTCCACGGGCAGAGGGGGATGGGGAAGGCGTATAGACTGGGGTTGGTCAAGCAGGACGACGGAGGGATGCCCATCGTGGAGTACATCGTCAAGTACAAGACTGTGAGTAACACTGAGGTAGTTTACACTGAGACGTCGCTGCTCTGTTCTAGTCTGGATTATTGAGTCTGAGTCATGACATGGCAGGAAACAAGAAGACAGAAAAAAGTTGAAGAATATTCAAGAATAATAATAAAAAGTTTGACATCCTTTGACAGCCCATGTTCAAGATTTTTTTATTCACTGAAAGTCTTTTAAGGTGCAAATCCAAAACATATTTAAACCGAAAAGTCTCCAACGTATGACCTTATTTTCAAAGCAACACCCGGACCATTCTGACTATTTCTCTTTACAAGACCAAAGCCAACAGATCACTGATGAAACACAGAGTGCTGATCAGACTCTGCTGTCAGAGTGTGATCTGATGTGTTCCTGTGAGACAAGCAGCTCTTCTGTTGTCCAGAAATCATTAGACACACATCAATGAGACACACTGCTGCACTGTGCTACAGGTTTCTGTATCGCATCGACGCAGAGACTTAGTTAGCGACGTAATGTGATATCAACAACAACCAGTTTGTCTGGAATCAAGACGCAGCTGAAAGTAGGAAACACAGATTTAACTCTTTTTGAATGACATTAGGCCAAAACATTTAGGGCAACAATTGAGATGTTTGACCCCCTGTAGTGAGTTAAACTGTAAAAGTGTGACATTTTATTTCAGATTTAGATCTAGGTGAGTAAATATTGAATGGACCGCATGTTTTGTTTTGCATGTGAAAGGGAATTTCCACAACAACTAGCTCGTAGCTCTTTCCCATCAGTGTTTGAATGTGTGTAAAAAAAGTGGATGCTGGGAAGCGCTTTGCATTGTGGGAGGAATAGAAAAGCTCTGTATACGTGCAGTTAAGATACGATGATTGTCTTTTTTGTTATCATGTACACCCCTTGAAGGATTCTTTTTTTTTATTCTCAAACACATCAGACCTCTGACCAAGATTTCTCCCGCTCTGTAACTTATTGAAACGAGCACTGAAGGATTGTGAGGAGGTGTTTTCTTTAACTCTGTGAATGTAATTGTGCACATCGTGTGTGTGTGTGTGTGTGTGGTTGTCTCTCCCATAAAAGAAACCAAAAACAGCTCGTAACCACACATTTCCTTCTTTTGTGGTTGTCACAATGGCGACGCAGGATGTGGCATCACAATGTGTTTGTCCTGCTGGTGGAGCGTGCGTGACTCACCAGCCTGATAGGTTCCCGTCGATTGAGTTGAGTGGCTGCTGTGTCGCTTGGCAAAATGAATAATGTTCTGCTTGAGAATGTCTATTTTTCTCTCCTTATGTCACTTGCAATTCAGGATTTAAATGAGAGAACACACAAGCGCTCAGAATGCACTCATCCATTGAAGTAGTTGATTTCTGTGTAAAATCAAAAATCAAAAAAGCTTGAAGTCACAAGATAAGGCGAGCGGCTGAGCTGACGCCAGGAAGCACAATAGATGGCACTCTTAAAAAAAAACCTCTCTACAGGACTAAGTGGATTTGGACTGGTCCAAATCTCCTCTCTGCCCGATGCTAATGTGTCCAAGCAGGCGTTTTGTGTGTCTCATTGAGAGAGTGACAGAGGTTTAAAATTACACCGCTGCAGATGAAGACGCACGCCGTGGAAAGGAAAGTCGTTTTTGGAGAGGGAGGCGGGAAGCTAAGCAGGAGACAAAAGGTGGATGCTTCACAGCGTGCTGATCTTCTGACCTCAGCGGACACAGAAACTGACTTGCTGGTTTTTAAAGCCCCTTATGAAGACTGGATTTTGTGCATTTCTGTGCTTCTGTCCTGGTTGCCAGGATGTAATAGCTGCAACTTTTCAACTCTCCCTAAAGCATAGCCTGGTTTATTGTCTCATTTACTCCAATAAGGCTCATAATCAACATCATGCTGTATGCACAACTTGAAAACTCATTGGGGGAACATGTTCATCTCTATGAAGAGATATTTGCAGAATCTGATGAGAAGGGATAATATCTGATGATGAAAGTATTCGAGTTAGTTTGTAGTCTGAGTCATATTGTGAAGAACGTTTCAACCTGAATGTGCTGTACGCTGGGAAATAGTTTCAAAATGCATCGTCCAAAGTGCAGCCAGGCATTTTATCAACACATCTGTATCGACGACATCTTCTATTCAGGCTGTGATCTGGCATGAAGACAGACATAGACTAGAAGGTGCACACACAGTCTGTCACATCTGTGCCCTGGATGTTGACTATGAGAGCGTCGTCTTTTTGTCTAAAATTGGTAAGGAGTGAAATAAAGATCGGTGCACATTCTCCTCTTGGTTTGGCTTCCTCTCAGTGCAGAGCTGAGCAGCCTGACTCCTCGGTTTCCCTCCTTTTGTTTTCAGTCGTCTCAAGGGGGGGATGAGGGAGAGAAGTGGTGAAAAGAAAGGATGATGTAAGGAAAAGGGGAGGGGGGAGAGAAAAGGCTGCAGCCGCAAAGGAACAGAGAGGATCAGAGAACTTGTGTGAACTTGAGTAGAAACAGAGGATTACTTTTCTGCGTGGGCGATTCACAACTTTCAACTCCACTTTATTGCGGTAACCGTCAGAATCCCCAGATTAAAACACACAAAGTGTGTTATCACGCAGCACAACACAAACCTCTGCTCTGCTGTGATGCTCGCTGACTAAAATGTAGAGCGTTGATTAAAAACTCTTATTCATCAAGAGTGTGAGACCTGTGTGTCTCACTTTCTTTCTGTTTCAGGATAAAGAGGAGCAGTGGATGACCAATGGTACCAGGAGCCAAGATTCGCCATGCTGCAGCGCTGCAGTGGAACACGAGATACGAAGTGGAAATCACGGCGCGCAACGTCAAAGCTGTCGGAGCCGACTTCTATCAGTCTTCATGCCGCAGAAACCCGACATTACAGGTAAAAATCATGAAACTCTACTTCACCTTTTAAGCACACTTGATACTCTAAATGGTTTGAAAGCCTGCAGAGAATACAGACTGAACTTGTTGTTTTAGCGCTCGATAGCATTAGCGATAACAAACGCAGGAGAGCGGATGTACCGGTGGAGATAAGAGAGCCTCAGAGCGCAGCAGACCTCACAGACCAGCTGCTGTGTGGGGAAACTAGTCTGCTGTTGGGGGGAAACTAGTCTCTGTGTGGGGAAACTAGTCTGCTGTGTGAGGGAAACTAGTCTGCGTGTGAGGGAACTAGTCTGCTGTGTGGAGGGAAACTAGTCTGCTGTGGGGGGAACTAGTCTGCTGTGTGGAGGGAAACTAGTCTGCTGTGTGAGGGAACTAGTCTGCTGAGTGGGGAAATAGTCTGCGTGTGAGGGAAACTAGTTCTGCTGTGGGGGAAACTAGTCTGCTGTGTGGGGAAAACTAGTCTGCTGTGTGAGGGGAA